TGCTACATGTGAGGCATTGTTTATTTCCCTAGAACATATTGTCAGCACAAGACGTTTAATTTTCTTCATAGAAGTACTTGACAAAAATAAAAATCCTGATAGGATTACCTGACTAGAACTGTTAAAATATGAACTAGCTGTTGCTAGGTTTTGATCGAGTAAAAGAAGAATAGAAGGTGATCTAATTGATTCATTCACCGATTACAACAAAGGTTTAGGGTTTTTATATACATCTTACTGCATACGCATGCAGTAAACAAGAATATTGAAATGGCATCCTTGCTGTCCATGATGCTGCTGTCAGGGCATCCATGTGGAGACTGCTGTCCATGACATGCTGTCCATGGTGCAGGTGAGTGGAGCATCTTCGACAGAAGAGGATGGCTTCCATTAGAATAATCTTTAGTAATACTCTAAGATATTGTTGCTCAATACTCCCCCTCAAGGTGGAATGTGAATATCAATCACACCCATCTTGCCCAGTAATGATCGGAAAGTCCCTTGTCCAAGTGGCTTGGTGAATATATCAGCTAATTGTTCTCCAGTACGAACATAGGCTGTCGTGATGACTCCTAACTGAATGCGTTCACGAACAACATGACAATCAATCTCTATATGTTTGGTACGCTCGTGGAACACGGGATTGGCTGCTATGTGAAGAGCAGCCTGATTATCACAGTATAACTTTGCTGGCATGTGGTGATCAACACGTAAGTCATCCAACAAATATTTCATCCATGTAAGCTCACAAGTTGCAGAGGCCATGGCGCGATACTCCGCCTCTGCTGAAGACCGAGAAACAGTTGTTTGTTTCTTAGTCTTCCAAGACACCAATGCACCTCCAAGAAAAACACAATAACCTGTAACAGATCTCCTTGTAATTGCACACCGACCCCAATCGGCATCGCAATAACCAGTCAGAATTAAGTCCCCTTTTGACGGGAATAAAAGTCCTTGTCCAGGTGCCCCCTTTAAGTACCGCAAGAGCCGATGAACTGCATCCAAATGTGGTTTTCTTGGTTGCTGCATGTATTGACTGAGTACATGAACTGCATATGAAATTTCTGGCCTGGTGATCGTGAGATAAATGAGCTTACCAACAAGCCTCCTATACTTCGAGGCATCGTGGAGGATTTGTCCTTCAGTTGGGGATAACTTCAAGTTTTCTTCCATGGGAAACTTTGCAGGTTTGGCGCCAAGTAAGCCGGCTTCATCAAGAATGTCAAGTGTGTATTTCCGTTGAGAGATAGAAATACCTTGAGAAGACCGAGCCACTTCGACACCGAGAAAATATTTCAACTGTCCAAGGTCCTTGATTCGAAAATGAGTGTGAAGGAACAGTTTGAGATCACGAATGGCCTCCTCGTCGTTACCTGTGATAATCATGTCATCGACGTAGATTAGTACGGTCGTGAATGAATGGTCACGTACCTTGGTGAACAAGGAATAATCGGCCTTGGATTGTTGATATCCTGCTTGGTGTATGGCAGTGGAAAACTTGTGGAACCAGCTACGAGAAGCTTGTTTGAGCCCATATATGGACTTGTTGAGTCGGCATGCATCATACTCCCCCTGCCGACGAAGACCGGGAGGCAGCTGCATATAGACCTCTTCCCCAAGGTCCCCATGGAGAAAGGCATTTTGGACATCCATTTGGTGAAGAGACCAATTGCGAACCGAAGCCACGGCCAAAAGACAACGGACGGTAATGAGTTTGGCAACAGGGGCGAATGTTTCTTTGTAGTCGATACCTTCACGCTGAGTGAAACCCTTGGCAACAAGACGAGCTTTATAACGTTCGACAGACCCATCAGAATGGTACTTGACCTTAAAGACCCATCTGCAACCAATGGCCCGATGACCGGGAGGGAGGCGGGTGAGAGTCCAAGTATGATTTTGTTCAAGGGCAAGAAGTTCAGTTTGCATGGCAGCTTGCCACTTAGGATCATTGTGGGCCTGTTCAAAAGTAGTGGGTTCGACAATGGTAGAAATGGCACAAGCAAAAGAGCGATGTGAAGGAGAAAGATGAGCATGAGTAACATAGTGAGATAAAGGATAGCGTGTACCTGACATGGAAGAGGAGGTGGCACCAGGGGCAAGAGAGTTGACATGATATAAATGGTAGCCCTGAAGTCGCACGGATGGTTTAGGGATACGGTGGGAGTGGCGAGGAACCATGGAAGGTGGCGGAGGGGCAGGATCCGAGGAAAGTGGGGTGTCGAGGTTAAGAGATGTGATGGGATCAGGTGGGGGATTAGAATCACGGTGAGATGGTATGGGGTTAGGGAAGGGGTGAGTGTCGGGTGAAGGATGAGGGTCAGGTGAAGGATGAGTGTCAAGGGGTAAAGGTAGGACAATACTATCAAGTTGGTGATCAGGGGGCTGGGAAATGTAAGGAAATGTGTTTTCATGAAAAACAACATCACGGGAAGTGGAAAATTTGTGGGAAGTGAGATCATAAAACACGGTACCCCTTTTGTCCGAGAGGATAGCCAACAAATATGCATTTGTGAGCACGTTGATCAAATTTGTGTGCAGGATGGAGGTTCGTGACATAGCATAAGCAACCAAACACACGTAAATGAGTAAAATCAGGAAGGGTACGATGTAAAAGTTCAAAAGGAGTTTTGTGGTGAAGAAGTGGTGTGGGTAAGCGATTGATTAAATAACATGCTGTTTGAATGCTTTCCCCCCAAAAGGTTAAAGGTAAGTTGGCTTGAAAACGGAGTGCTCTTCCAACATTTAAAAGATGGCGATGTTTTCTTTCAACTACCCCATTTTGTTGAGGAGTAGAGGGACAAGAGGTGTGAAACACAATGCCTTTGCTATCAAAAAATGGTCGTAAAGAAGTGAATTCAGCCCCATTATCTGCCCTAATTGTTTTGATCACACATTTGAATTGTGTTTGAACCCAAGCAATGAAAGAACACAACAACCCTTGTGTTTCAGACTTTAAACGCATAAGGTGAATCCAAGTAAACCGTGAATAATCATCAACAATGGTAAGGAAATATCGAGCCCCCGAATGAGAATTGACTCGATGAGGTCCCCAAATATCACAATGTATCAAATCAAAAGGTGTTTGTGATGAAATAAAACTAGATGGAAAAGATAAACGAGTTTGCTTAGCAAGAGGACAAATATCACATGAATGGTTGAAATCAAACACAATATTTGGAACTTGCTTGGTCAAAGATTGTAAAGGTCCGGTGGAAGGGTGCCCTAAGCGTTGGTGCCAAAGGTTGGAGTGACGGTTGATGTTGTGAGCAAAATGTGGGTTTTGGTCCGTCGACAAGTAATAGAGCCCATTATATCGTTTGCCCAGGCCAATCGTCCTCCTCGTATCCATGTCCTGTATTACACAGAAAGTGGGGAAGAAAATCACTATGCATCTCAGAGACTCTGTGAGTTTGCTAACGGATAATAAATAGACTCGAAAATTTGGAACATGCAACACATCATCAATTTTAATGAGAGGGGTGACTTGAATGGAACCAACAGACTCTATAGTGGCTTTGCCCCCATTCGGCATGTGCACAGAATTTATCATGGATCTCTTGTCAAGTAAGTGAGGAGAAGGAGATATATGATCCGTTGCCCCACTGTCAATGATCCAATATAGAGTTTTCTGTGCTAAAGCTCCTGACAAATTAGATAAGGGCTTAATAGTACCTGCGGCATTTGCAAAATGTTGTGTATTACCATCAAGGTTGGTTTTCTTGAGCATGGCCATGATTTGAGCATACTCTTCAGCAGTGAATTTGGGCCCGTCACTGGGGGTTCCAAGGTGATGTTGATCAGTCCCCTTTGCAACTTCATCGCCTGCCTTCACATGGTTTGCCGCAGGTTTCTTCTTGTTAGGAGGCGTCACCCTTTTGCCATGGTACTTGTGCCCCGGTGGGAAGCCGTAGAGGTAGAACAGCGGTCCACAGTATGATATTTCTGATCACAATATGAGCATTTAAGGAATGAATTACCTCGTTGTGCAGCAGGTTCCCTGTGACTAGTCACATTCATCGCATGCAGATTGTTGCTATTGCGGGTGAGAGAAACTTCCACTTGCTTCTCTTGTTGTAAAACAAGAGAATATGCCTTCCGAGTGTCTGGGAGTGGCTGCATCAACAAGATTTGCCCACGTACCGCGGCATAAGATTCATTGAGTCCCATGAGGAACTGCATCACCTTTTCCTTTTCATCACGTTCATTGATCTTTTTCAAACCCCCACAGGTGCATGTTGGGGGTTCATGGTAGGACGTTAATTCATCCCACAATGCCTTCAGTTTTGTGTAGTATGCTGAGATGGATTGTTGCTCCTGTCTGTGCTCAACAATCTCTCTCTTAATTTGATAAACACGTGAATCATTCCCTTGAGAGAAACGATCACGCAAGTCAGCCCATACATCTGTTGCTGACGTGTAGTAGGAAACGCTGCTTGCAATGTCTTCATGCACAGAGTTCAGGATCCACGCAAGGACCATGTCATTGCACCGCTGCCACAGTGCAAATTGTTTATCTGTTTTAACAGGAGGATCAACGGTTCCATCGACCAAACCTAACTTGTTCTTAGCACTTAGACTGATACGCATAGCACGGCTCCATGTATTGTAGTTGTCTCCTTGAAGGGTTTTGGAGACCAAGATGTTCCCAGGTTGATCAGAGGGATGTAACAAGAACGGGTTCGAGAGATCAGTCGTCATCTCTGATGATCTTGTGTTGACTTCTGATTCACTCATGATGTTGGTATTGTTTGTTGTGGTGCGGAAGCGTTGGGGTATTCAGAGTCACCAGAAACGGTGCTCTGATACCATGTTAAAATATGAACTAGCTGTTGCTAGGTTTTGATCGAGTAAAAGAAGAATAGAAGGTGATCTAATTGATTCATTCACCGATTACAACAAAGGTTTAGGGTTTTTATATACATCTTACTGCATACGCATGCAGTAAACAAGAATATTGAAATGGCATCCTTGCTGTCCATGATGCTGCTGTCAGGGCATCCATGTGGAGACTGCTGTCCATGACATGCTGTCCATGGTGCAGGTGAGTGGAGCATCTTCGACAGAAGAGGATGGCTTCCATTAGAATAATCTTTAGTAAGTTCTCACACTAGCTAGCTGAGATCATGCAAGACCAAAACCCAAGGGATCCCACATTTAGTGCGGGAGCTTATCCTACGGCTGACGTGATCGGCTACCCAAGTCGAGTTTTTTTGGGACTAAAATTACTAAAACCGAAATAACATGCGCCAAAGTTGAAAATAAGTGAAACTATGGGGACCAAAAATGTAATTAGGCGTTTTATTGTTCGTTATAAAAAGCAGGCGTGCCACGATATCCAGCTTACGTGTACCACAAGTTTCTCCGGTTTGACATTTGCCGAATGAGAACCGACAGGAGGAGTGCGAGAGTGAGAAATAGCGGTGAGAACTCTGAGCAGGAAATCCCTAACGGGGCTAACTCTGAGCAACAATGGCGGAAGGTTAGGGTTAGGGCTTGTCCCGGTCCGCGGATTGAAGACCTTAACGCTGCCGGACCTGCCCTACGACTATGGGGCACTAAAGCCCCACATTAGCGGAGAGATCATGCAGCTCCATCACCAGAAGCACCACAAGACCTACGTCACCAACTTCAACAACGCCCTCGAGAACCTCCATCAGGCCATGAACAAAGGGCAGCCATCCACCGTCGTCGAGTTACAGAGCGCCATCAAATTCAACGGCGGTGGTTCGCTTTTAATGTGCTACATTGTACTTGATTTTGATTTTAGGCTTAAGGCATGAGTTTGGTTCTTGTAGTTTTGGCGAAGTTCCACTATTGTCCACGTAGTTTCTAATGTCGTGATTTTGCATGTCTACTGTGTAGTTTAATATATAATTGTTGCAATTCGAGCACATGCAAAGTCTCTTAATTCCTCGATGTGGTTTACACTCTCAGCATAACTATATGGATTAAGGTGGAACTTCGCTAAAAATGCATCGACTGAAATCGTGATTTGGCCTTTAATTTATTAGTTTATTAATTAATAATGTATATTTGAATGTGGAAGGTCATATAAACTTATTTTCTGGAAGAATCTTACCCCTGTTCAAGTAAGTTCTAACTTTATTTTAAATCGTGGTTTGGAATTAGTTTGTTGGCTTTTTCTTTTCTATCTAGAAATTGGTTAATAAAATGTAGTGTGCAGGAAGGAGGTGGGGAGCCTCCAACGGGGTTCGTTAGCATCCGAAATTGACGATGGCTTTGGTTCTTTAGGTTCGCTGATTCAGAAAATGAATGCAGAAGGTGCCGCTTTGCAAGGTTCCGGTTGGGTGGTAGGCGTGTTTTGCCTACTTCTTAGCTTTACTATTTGTTCCATTCAATTCTTTAGGATGGATTTCGCTAAAACGAATAGACTCAAGTATTGAGAGTTAACGCTTCTTTTTTTTCTTTTTTCTTTTTTTTTCAATTTTGATAGTGGCTTGCTCTTGACAAAGATCAGAAGAAGCTTCTATCGAAACCACATTCAATCAGGTACGGTGTTCGAGTCTTTGCTATTGACAATTTGGATTTATGGATTTGGAGATGTTACGGGCTGCCTTTCAGTTTTAGATCTATTTGCATTTTGCGTACTCCTCAGTTCCTTTCGGTAATTCAGAGGGTACTTTTACGGCATGATTGGGTTGAGGGTGTATAATACACACATTTGCTTCTCTTATTGGTAAACTTGTATTCCATTTTTCTGGCTGCGCTGTGTATTATGTTGCCTGACGTAAACTTAATGCAGGATCCGCTTGTGACCAAAGGAGCAAGTTATGTACCTCTGCTGGGGATAGATGTGTGGGAGCATGCTTACTACTTGCAGGTAAATTTGTTGCATTTGGTTTTTTTTATGCACCCCCGATAGTTTTACGTGGCCGTTTCATGACTACTTGACATGAACAAAAGTGCTTGATTTCATAACATTTTTCGGAGTTCTGCTTTGTTCCACTATGTGCCGAGCTATCTTACTTGATTCGATCATTACGGGATATACCTTAGCAACTGGAAGTCTTGAATTATTGACGTTTGTGCAGTACAAAAACGCGAGGCCAGACTGTCTGAAGAACGTGTGGAACGTTATTAACTGGAAATAAGCAAGTGAAGTGTATAAGAAAGTGTGTCCTTGAGCGCTAAAGCCATTTTCCTGGTAAGCTTTTAGGTTGCGTTTGTCCACTTTGTGCAGGAATAAGATACATCCGTTAATGGGATTCCGAAATTTGTACCGAGACATCCTGTCTTTTCGACAATGCATAATTGCATAGTGTATCAGCTTTTGTGTAACTCGTTTATTTGAGGATCTCCTTTCCTCTTGTGTGTAATAAACCCTGTCTTCCAACTTATGATTACTTAAGTTGATGATGGTGAAGCATGTAGCTCCATTTTGTAAATCCTCTTTTTTTTCTTCTGGATTTGTAGTGATGGCAGCACATTGATCATTGGCTAACCTGCGGTGCCCTGGCGATTGGTTTTATTGCTCATTTTCAAATAGAGATGATTTTCACACACGTTTTTCTTTTCCTACACACCATCATTTATTTATGACCATTGAATTGAATAAATCAAAAGTTAGTCGATATAAATAAACAGGAGTGTGCATAACAAGAAAAGAACTGAATCCAAATCTGCAAGCAAAAAAGTCTCTCTTATGAATATGGCAAAAGAAATCTTATGAAAAGAACCACTAAGGTAGACAAATTGAAGTTTGCAAGGATTGAACCATTCACAAATAGCACTATTATGAAACCAATATATTCAAATGACGATACTACCAATGTATCAAAACGACAATAGGTTAATAAGATTGATATCCACATAACATACATAACATCGAAATGATATCAATATTGATATAATGAAATTGTTTGTTATAGTAATGTACAATTAAATTGTAACAAATGTCTTTGATCTGTATCAAGAATTTATTTTTCGATTTTGAACTCTACTAATAATTTTTCTCGTTCTTGAAATCCTCCTTAAAATATATTGTGACCTATTCACATAACTTAGTACTTGTAAACAAAATTCCTTATGGATTGAGTAAATGTAGTTTTGATTGATTGTTTTTTTAGGAGAATGAAAAAAATGAGGGAGAGACAACGAACAGATTTTAGCGGGCCCGCCCCGAATGGATCATAAGACCCCGCAAAACCCTAGTAAAAAACACGCATACATATATATCCTCCTACCTTAAGAGGCCGCCGAAGCGTTTGGCAGCGGCAGAAGAAGCAGCTCAGATCCAGACGGCGGCTTAGGGTTTCACTTCCCTGTAGGCAAATCAGCAACCATGGTAATTCTTCTCTACCTCATATCTCCATCCCCGAATTACACGATTAACGACTAATATTTTACTTAATTCAGTTTGGAAATCTCAATCTCTCTCTGTTTGCAGACTTTCAAGAGAAGAAACGGCGGCCGGAACAAGCACGGCCGCGGCCACGTGAAGTTCATCCGCTGCTCCAACTGCGGAAAATGCTGCCCCAAGGTGTGCTTTTACCTAATTATCCTTTTTTTCGTATTTTTATTAAAGTTTACATCTTTAGAGTGAAAGATTTGAAATTCTATGTGGGTTCTGGGTTTTGAATTAGTTTTTGGATTTTTTTAAGTGGGTTCTGGTTTTGAATTAGTTTTAGGATTAATTTATTGGGTTTGTGTTAAAAAGGACAAAGCTATCAAGAGGTTTCTGGTGAGGAACATTGTTGAGCAGGCTGCAGTTAGGGATGTTCAGGAGGCTTGTGTTTACGATGGTAATTTTTCTTTCCCTTTCTGTTTAATACAGTAAAAATATTCTTCGTTTTGTTTTCGGTGTTATTTTTGTTTTTGGTTTTGATGATTGTGATGATAATGTTTTTTGCTGTTAGTTTTATATTTGTTTTGATGATTGTGCTGATAATGTTTTTTGCTGTTAGTTTTATATTTGTTTTGATGATTGTACTGATAATGTTTTACTGGGAATGCTGTTTGATTTGAAGGTTACACCCTTCCTAAGCTGTATGCTAAGATGCAATACTGCGTTTCTTGCGCCATCCACTCCCACGTTGTGAGGGTTCGGTCTCGCGAGAATAGGAGGAACCGTGAGCCCCCTCAGCGTTTCAGGCGCCGGGTATGCTCTAAACTTCATCGCTGTGTATCTCAATCTCTTATTTTGTTTTAGTTTATGCCTCTGTGCAATTTGGTTTACGGTTCAGTGTGAGATATACTTTCATTTAAATTGTGTGTGTTGTGTTTGTTCAATACTTGTGTTTTTGGGGATTTCGTGTCTGAAATTAATACATTATACATTCTACATTCTACATTATACCTACGTGGATTAGTGTCCATTTTGTACAAACTTAACAAGTTCAAGAGCGAAGGAGGTAATGCCATCTTGAATTTTCTTAAAAGAGGTTCAAAAGCACCCAACTGCAAGGATGTTATCTCTTTTGCCTTTAGGACATGCATATTTGGTAGCTAAGCTTTTGACTTGATATTTGGTTAAATGATCCTCGTACTTCCATTATTAGTGACATTGAGGAGCTTGAAAACGCATGCTAAACAATTTTGGGTTTAACTTTAAATTTATACCCCCTATCATAGTATTATTTCATTAACATATTTACTGGCAGGGAGTTTCTCCTGCTAAGGTATAAATGCTTCTGATTTTTCGTATCCAGCAGTTGCTTTCTTCCTTAATTTAAGGTTTTTTATTTGCTAATATTAGGATAAATTTTGAAGGGCGGTACTTATAAATGCACGTTGCTTCCTATCTGTCTAGTTCAGCTACATCCCGTCTTCCGAATGTTAGCCTTTTGCTTTTTTTAGCTAGATAGTTCCTACCCGGAAGCAACATTTGATGTAATTGGTTATGTGAGACTATAGTATGGAACCTTTTCCCCAATAATGTTGTTATGTGGCCTAGGGAATGCTGGGGATGCTGGAGTGTTAGAAAGTTAACTGTATTATGTCTTCATCACATTTGGCTGTAATTTTTTATTTTGTACATTTGCTTTCATCATTCATTTTCTTTTATTAAACCTTTCAATTTCGAATTATGCATTTCAGGAGGATACACCTAGGCCCGGTGCGCCTGGTGCTCCTGGTCAGGGTCCACGCCCTGTTGGAGCTGGAGCGCCAGCTGCTCGTCCATGAAAAGGCATTGCATCACCTGCTTGATTGCTTTGAGGATGTGCATTGAGTCTTTTAATTTTGGCTGCTACCTTGCTCTGTTTCCATTTTATCTTTGAATGTTTCTTTGACGCCGTTATGACTTATGTGTACTATCGGAGTACTTTAGTCTTATATGTCATATACTATCATGTTATGGGAAGTTATTTGCAGAATGTAGCAGGAGATTCAAAACCAGAGATTTTTCATTTTTGTGTTAATTTTCATCCAGTGTTGGTTTTCACTAGATTTTTATTTTCGAAAATTTTGGTACTCTAGATTTTCGGCTAAATTGTAGCCATGGTCCTTGAACGATGTTATGAGTTTAGTTTTGGTCCGTGAACTCTAATAATAGTTGCTCTCATCCTCGCATTATGTCTCGTGTTGCATTAGTGATACTTTTCGTTATCTCTGATCGGTAAAGTTGGGATCCAAGTGTTGAAATCAGTTGTTTTTCTTGCTTTCTCCTTATTGCTAGTTTGTTGCTAAAGCATTCTGCCCAAATTTGTTCAGTCGTGCCACCACGTAGTGATGTAGTTTATACTAGGACACTACTCGATGAACACTGTCACGTGGTAATGATGTGTTGTGATAAGATACTTAACGGATTTAGGGTAAAATG